GCTCTTATTGAGGCAACAGCACTGTCTCGCACAAGCAGCCTTTGCTGGGGACTACTGGACACTGTGGACACTATCTGGAGTGAGATAGCTGGCCACATGTGGCCTTAGAAACTCTTGCTTTCCCAGTCTCTTGTTGTTAGATAAATCCCATCATAGCTGCTTCCTGAGTCTGACGGTATCTTACAATTGAGTGCTCAGGTGAGAACAGACAGCGACCTGTCTGCTTCTACATGCTGTCCTGTTGCAGGTACTCTCTGGGCACTGTTATTAGGAAATATCTGTGACTATTTGGAGTTGCTGTAGGAACACATGAGGAGGACATAACCCAAGGAATAGGTCAAGGTTATTTTAGGAATTAGTAAAACTGTCTAATCAACAAAGTTTTTTAACTTTTAGTTTTACTTGGTTTTTAACTCTTCTACCTAACTTTAAAAATACAGTATAACTTGTTGGTTTATCTTTTTTTTTTTTTTAAGAATGACTTGATATTCTTGTTAAATATCTTTTCTAGAAGGGTTACATGACTTATAAGATCTGACTTGGTTGTAAAATATCAAATTTATGCTCTTCTTTCTGTTGACTAGAACGATGTGAGAAATTACCTAGCTGAAGTGAATGAAAAAGATTAGATTTTCTTATAAGCTAGAGTGATAGAAGTGCATCATTCCTGGGATCTGATCTCTCTGATTCTGTCTTAATCAGAATACCATCTTTGACTTTATATTTTAGTGGTTAGAACATACTTTTACAGGCTTTCCTTTGTTAGGGCTTTCTCACATTAGAACTATAAGTCAGTCTGTCTAATTTTAGTATGTGACCATCTTGCTTCATCTGGCATCTCTTCCTACCCTAGGCTGTCCATCATACATACCTTACCATAGCTTACCTTTCACTATAGAGTAAAAATAACAACTGTGATTATCGGGCTGCTAAGAAACAGTTTCCCAAGGCCCAAGTGGAACCTGATCTTATGCCTGAAGAGCAAGTTCCCTGCAGAATGGGTCCCCAACTAGCCTTTCCAACCTGTGTTGGCAAAGAGAAGATCACACCACTGCAGGGATACAGAATGATAAGCTGGAGTGCTGGAGGGGTAATTGAGTTGTCGCCCAGATGGTTTTTTAAAAAGTCCTGTTTACTTTTTTATGATAAATTACTCTTGGGTCATTCTTCACTCCTCTGCCTACGAATGTGTTACTACCAACTGCCTGGTTCTTGCTCACACCTTTCAGACCTGGAGTGTCCTCTCCTTTAACTGAAAGCCCCTGCAGGTCCTACCCGTATTTCATGCCTGAAAGATTCCTTTTCTCGTCTTCTCTTTCAGGTCCTGCCATTTCCCCTGTGGTTGCCACTGCCATTATTCACCTTTGCGTGGTTGGTTTTTTTCCCCCTTGCTGAGTTAGGCCGAGGCAGGGGCATCTTACAGCAGGAGCCATGAGGGTGGTAGATTTTTGCTTCAACTCAGCACCTGAAGCAAACTTGCTGACTAAGAGGGCTGTGCTTCCCAAGTGGATCTCCTGCAAGGGGCTTATCTGATGAGTGGTTTGGGGAGAGTCGGATCAGGTGTATTAGTCCAATTTTCAGAAGTAGCTTACTCAGGGGACCGGCCAGCATTTACCTATGGACATGGGGTCACTCCTGTAGACCGCTAGCATTCAGAATGCTCTAGGGAAGTGGTTGTGGACCAGTGGGCTTCACTGCAGTGAGGTGTTATTGATTGACCTCTTGAAGCTTTAATATTGATAAGAAGCACTAAGAAGTCCATTGGAATAGGTGTAAAACCCATTGCCAAGAGACAGCTAGTGTTTCCTGGGCCAGAGACACTTTTAATTCTCCTATCCTGGAATTACAAGTTTCCTGGGTCACAGTAAGCCTGTCAGACAACAGAATGCACATCAGACTGCATTCACTCCCAGAAGAGAGCACATGATCACAGGTTTGGTGGTGAACAGACCTAAGCTCCTGTCCTGACCTTGTCATTCAACATTGTGATCCTGAGTTCCAAGGAAAGGTCACTGTCCTCAAGTTAATGTGTCAGGTACCCAAGGTAACTTAGTGTGGCTTTGCTGAAATGGGCATGTCCATGGTGGTGGCAGCCCGCAGGCCTCAGGACTTGGAGGAATGTCTGAGACGACTTTGTGGCTCTGTCCCCTCTCAGTTGGCTTTTCCCTTCAAGGCCTGTCAGAATCACTTGGTAAGCTGTAAAAATAAAACCAAATTTTCTCAGGTCTCACTCCTAGATATACTGCTATAAAGGATGTGTGGCAGAGGCCAACACTGGTATTTTTTTTTAACTCCTACATGATATTCAGTGTGCGCTGAAATGTACTGAGCCCAGCCAGCTCTGCACTTAGCTGTTGTTCATTCAGTTAGATCAGGCAGAAAATTAATAAATTGCCTTGATTGGTCTTAAGTGATGGGCTGGTTCTCTTTTGAAAACTGTAATTAAGAAACAAATCTCTACTCAAATGGAATATTCTCTGATTTATTCCTGTATGGCTATAGCCCCACTTATGATTATTAAAAAGAAGGAAAAAACTTGTCTTCATGACTTCCAAAAAGCTCACCTGACAGAAAGCCTAGGGCAGAAGGAGAGAGATGACACGGACTTGAGAATTACTGAAAGTAGGGGACAAAATCGTCCATAGCTTGGAAATGAGCTCTGTGTAGAATCTGACCTCTTGGATCTTGTATCCATTATGCATAAGGCTTATTAGACATTTCTCCTTCCTAAAAGGTTTATTGTCTTTACATTTAGAGGTTAACTCATGAAAGAAGAAAACATGTTTTATTTATAAATTTTGTTAGTGCCTGATAGAAACTGGCATGTTACTTAAACGTGTATTCATGTTTCTTTCCATGGAGTTGGTGTGCATACTGTTTGTCTTCCGTAATTCTGAAGTAATGTCCACAAAATAATGAGAACTCTCTATCTGAGTAGACAGTTTTAGTCAAAAATCTTTCCATCAAACTAGCTTCTGAGGTTTGAGAAAAATTCTAGTCAATTGAAGGATTGAAAGTTGGATTTTTTTCCTACTGGAAAAATACTAGCCCATCTTATAGTCAAGAGATGCACAGTTACTGAAATAGTTGATAGTTTTCTTTCTTTAAGTAATATGCCTTTCCTAATTATGACTTCCAAAATTCACTTTACTAGTTATATACTATGTTTATGTGGTTTTACAAACTTTTTATTTCAGAATAATTTTGTATTACAGTTCATTCTTGGTGTTGCACACTTGGGTCTTGACAGATGAATGTGACGAGAGTCACCAGTAGAGTATCATAAAAATCTGTGCTCTTCGTCTTCCTTCTCTGCCCCTTGCCCCTGGCAAACTCTGATCTTTTCATTTTCTCCATAGTTTTTTGCCTTTTTCCAGAATGTTATATAGTTGTAATTGTTAAGGAAGAAATTATTCATGCCACTTTTATAGAATGGCAAGGCAGACTTTACTCAGGGGAGTCTACTATATGGGAGCTTTGCAGCAAGGGAGAAAGATTGGACTCCCCTCCAGATACAAGAAGGAAAAGTAGAAATGGATAGCCAAGGAGCAGGGAAGGGGGCAGTGAATGGGAAATTACTAAGATGATGAAACAGTAAATTGGGGGGCGGTGTAGGAATTGGGATGGGGCTCTGGCTAAACTGACCTCAGCAGAGGGGAGGGTAGAGGTTTCTTTCTGAGCCAGCTTAGCAGGAGTCTTACTAAAACCTGGACAATGCAAAGATAAACAGACATGGAAGCACAGAAGTTGAGGCCCTGTTGGGAGAGGACTCAAAGCAGGCTGACTAAAGTTGGTCAAGGAGAGAGTCCTTGTTAGAAGTGTGTCGGCTTTCCAGGTTGGCTCTTTTCACTTAGTAATATGCACCTCAAGTTTCTTTCTCCTTGTCTTTGCTTGGCTGTATAACTCATTTCCTTTTTACCACTAAGTAGTAATTCCATTATCTGTCCTTCTACAGTTTGTTTTCTCCACTCACTTTCTGAAAGATATCTTGGTCACTTCCTAGTTCTAGCACGTATAAGTAAAGCTGCTATAAACGTTTGTGTGCAGCTTTTAATGTGAGTTTTCAAAAATACACTTGTATTTACAGGGAAGTTGTAGAGGTAGTGTAGAGCATCCCTGTGTGCCCTTCACACAGTCTTACCCTCATGTTAGCCTGTTCCCTCCTGTTAAACTTGCCCATTCGCAAAACTGAGAATTTACATTGACGCCACCCTCTTAATTTGAACTTCATTGGATTTTTTTTTTAGATTTATTTATTTATTCATATAGAACTGGGGTACAGGCCAGAGATGTGAAGGGTGAGAGGATTCACCAGAGGCAGAGAGGGGAACAGAACAGGCAGATCGACGAAGTACACTGCTGAGGGGAGCAGCGGGCGGGTCAGGAGAGGTCTGCCTCGCCATGTGGATCTCCTCCGGGGCAGGCAGGGATCGAACTCACGTGGAGGTGGCTTACGCTTCTTAGTGCTGTGTTTTAACCCACTGTGCCAACAGGGAGGGCCCAAACTTCATTGGATTTTACCAGCATTCCCATTAATTTTTTTTTTTTATTTCAGGATCCAGTCTAGGATACCACATTGCATAAGCACTATATTTATTTTAATTTATAAGAACAGTTTGGGTGTATTGTGTTTATTAAATATGTTCATAAACCAGCATATTTCGGATGTAAACATACTGGCTATGAGGAACTAGTGTTTCTTAATCCAAATGAACACATTTAATTATAATACTGTTATTTATGATTATTTGAGCATTTGTTTTTGGTGAAGAACTTGGTATTCAGAGTTCTCTGAAATTAAGAATCACTTTATACAAATCTTCTATTTGAAATAGTAAATTTTGTGGAAAGAAGACTTTCTTTTTAAGGTTATTTCAAAACCCAGGAGAAAACAGGCTGCCAAGCTCTAATAAAAGCTGTCAGGGCCTGACTGTTCAAGTTAATGCAAAGGATGAAGTGTTTGGTTCTCTAACGAGCATCTCCAAATGTTTTGCTGGCAGAAGGACTCCATGAAAGATGACAGAAGAAATAATTGTTATAGCCAAGTGGGACTACACGGCCCAACAAGACCAGGAGCTGGACATCAAGAAGAACGAGCGGCTGTGGCTGCTGGACGACTCCAAGACGTGGTGGCGGGTGCGGAACGCGGCCAATAGGACGGGCTACGTGCCCTCCAACTATGTGGAGAGGAAGAACAGCTTGAAGAAGGGCTCCCTGGTGAAGAATCTGAAGGACACTTTAGGTGAGTGTCCCGCACAGTCCAACCCACACTCAGTACTAAGCTGCTCTCCAAGATGGGAGCCAGGAAGCCCTGAGCTTTTTCAGGGGAGAGTGTTCAACTTTAAATGTCTTTGTGCGCTCTTTAATTCTGTGTTAAATATTGACAGCTTTCTAGTTACCCTTTTTTAAATTTCTGAGAACCAAGTGGTCAAGATAGCGAACTCTCAGACTTGCCGCCTCCTGGAGATTTCAGAGCTAGAGTCTTCAGTAAGTTGACACTTCTGTGTGTCACACATGTTTCTGTCTCCTGGCATCACCAGTCTAGAGGATCCTGAAATGGAATCACCTCCTCCAGAAATCTCAACAGCTCTGCCATGTCACTCCATCAACTCTGATGCATGGAAGAGGAGGTAGCAAGGAACAC